TTGCCAGTATCCTATTGTCACATCCAAAAGGGGAGAGATACTTGTTTCCCCCTAAATCATCTAAAAGTTCATCCACTCTGGGCATTGGGTAATCATCAGATTTCGCTACTCTGATTTTCTGCCTAATATACCCACAAAAGTGTACCTCACCATTCTAATTTGGCACCAAAACAATGGGCAGAGCACCAGTCACCTACACATGGTTTTATTATGTCCATCTGGAGCATTTTTTCTTCTATCTCAGTTTGTAACCCTTCTTTTTGCCATTCAGGAATCCTGCAGGGATATTGTCTGATTGGTGGGGTTTCCCATGAGTCTATCTTGTGTTCAACTAGAAGAGCTGTGATGGTGCAGTGGTTAGAATGTAGTATTGCAGACTAATTTGGCATTCCACTGCCTTCCATTCTTCTAAGGTCGATAAAATGAAGACCCAGATTGTTAGGGGCTTCTACCAAGGCAGTCTCGGTCTCTCTCTCTCCCTCCCTCCCTCCCTCCCGCCCGCCCTCCCTCTATATATATATTTATGAGAGAGAGAGAGAGTATGTGTGTGTATGTACAGTGTGTGTGTGTGTGTATGTGTGCATGTGTGTAGGTGTTTATGTGTCTATGTGTATTCATCTATCATGATACATGCAAATGTATAAAAATCACAATAGAAATACAAATTATAACTAAAAGTAAAAGATGGAGACGGAAGGCGGGAACTAGGAGATGCTATTAGTTGATCAACTACCTCCAGTTTCATGCTCCCCCATTGGGGTCCCCAGCCTCCTGCAGGCAGTCAAGAGAATGGGAGCCAATCTCACCTCAGGTGCCAAGATATTTCAAAGGACCGGGGCCATGGCAGAGAAGGCCCTTCTCTTGGACCCCACCAGCCGAAATTCCTTGACTGATGGGATCCGCAGCACACCCACTTTGCCACCACCAGTGGGGCAGGCCTGTCCCATATGGGTGGGACAGTTCCTCAAGTAACCTGGACCCTTCTCCATGTCAGTGTGTTTGGTGTAAGATCTGGTAAGAGGTCTGGTTTCCTCAGGCAGGATGTTGGCTAATGTTAGCAAAGTCTACAATCTGCAAGGACCAAACAAACTCCCTCCCTTCCTTTTGCACCCTTTTTAAACCAAGGCTTGTTTTCTTTTCATATAGTGCAGGCATGTCAAACTTGCGACGTCAGATGACATATCAGGACTTTTTCCCCATTTGCCAGCAATGGGGTGGGCGCGGTTTCAGCGTGACACATCCGGCCCGTGGGCCAGCAGTTTGACATGCCTGATATAGTGTATTAAATTGCTTGAGTTTCAGCCACCACCACTTGTGTGGTTGCCCCTTTGTGTAGGATATCCCACAGCTGTCACCACTTTGTCACAGGTTCTTTTATCTATAAAAATAGATAAAAATCTATTTATCTAAACCTGTTTTAAAATCCCAAAGTCAGTGGGCTCCTCAAACCCCAGAGCATCCTTGGCCTTTAGGCAAGTCACACACACACACACACACACACACAGAGAGAGAGAGAGAGAGAGAGAGTCAATTAGTGATATTCACAGTTCTTTCTCACACACTTGCCCAGGTCTGCTCCTAAGCAACTGTGAATTGTCCTTTAGCAGTAGGCCTCACAAACTGTAGTAATCTAGTATTACTACTAGTACAGTAGTAATAGACTACTGCAGTTTGTGAGGCTTATTACTAAAGGACAATATTTCTGTCTGTTAGCCCTAGGCTGCTTCCCATTGCTTTATTTCTACAAAGAAACCACCTTCCCTCTCAGAACAACTCCAACACTACCACACTCCACTGGTTTTTTTTTTCCTACTCAGCTTTTATAGGGTTTGTGTAGTTGCTTGTTACTGGGCAGCTGGGCTGGCTAGGGAAAGGTCTTTAAGGGAGAGGGCCCCATCAGCCCAGATGCTAGCCAGTTTAAAGGAAACTGGACAGCCATTTGTCCGAAATGGTATAGGGTTTCCTGCCTGAGCAGGAAGTTGGACTAGATGACCTCCGAGGTCCCTTCCAACTTTATCATTATTATTATTATTATTATTGTATGTTTCCACCATTTTCTCCAGGTTAAGCCTGGCTAAGTGGCTAAGTGCTTCTCAACTTTAGCCACTTTTAAGATGTGTGGACTTCAACTCCCAGAATTCCCTGCTTTTTGTAGATTCAGGCTATGGTCATCCATTATTTTCTGAAGTGGAAGCCAGAGTAGTGTTTCTCAACCTTGGCAACTTTTAAGATAGTGTCTGTGGAGATTCTCAGTCCTCCAGGTCATGGTTGTCTGAAAGGTGTTTTTTTAAAAGGCAACTGGACTTTGATTTTTTTTATCTTGAGGAAAAGATAAGATACGACTCACTTCCAGAGTTCCCTGTGATGGCTAGGGAATCCTGGGAGTTGAAGTCCACACATCATAAAGTTCCTAAGGTTGAGAAATACTATGCCAGAGGAACAGAAATTGGTAAGAAACTTAGAACCATCCATGATTTGTAGAATGTAGTTCTGTTTGTGGATTTAGAACCAGCAAGAAATAAATCCAGTGAAAATCAATATATATATATATGTGAGCATGCTGAAGAGTACATCTTGGTTGTGTTTCTAACATGCTAATTGTAAAGCTCAGCTAACAAGCTCTGATAGGGAAGCATTTAAACACATTCCATCGACAGCTCTTTGGCTGAAGTTTGCAGCTTATTGAAATATCTGCTACTTTGGATGTCCAGACTCTATAAACTGTAACCTTTTATTTAGACTCTGTTGCAGTCAGCGGCCTCTTCCATAAGCTGCCATGATGCCAAAATGAAAATTCTTACTCAGTTGTCCATACTCTTATGTGCAAAGCACAATCAAAGAAGCAAGATTCAGTTAGATTTTTTAAAATGAGTTTTGATGCCAAGAATTAGGGTATTCCACCCCTTCTTTAGTAATGAAATTAGGTTTCCTGGAAGCTTGTGAATTTTTTTCCCAGAATGGTTGCATGATGGATTAAGAATCTGTTGATTTCCTATGCCTTTAAGAGGATTTGTGTTCAGATGTGCTCCTCCATTTTTTTTCAGTCCTAGCCCGATCTCTCATTGTGATGTCATCAAGCAGCTGCTACCATCACCTATTTGCACCCTGACATTGAATACAAACTACAGTTGTAATTTATGGGGCCCTTGGTGTTTTCTGAGTTTGCTTGCTTGCAAATGTTTCGTGCAACTGGGAAGCATCATCAATGCAAGTGAACATTGGGCTTTTCTCCCTATTTATATACAGCCATTTGCCCTGCCAATGGCGGTGGTGATGTATTGTTTGAAACAGAAGCAGGAAGCAGAAGACAATGCCTTAATTAAGGAACTAATAAGAAGAAAATCACATCCCAACCAACATTGGCAGAGCAAGTAACTGTATATAAACAGGAAGCAAAGCCCACACTCACTAGCACTGACATTGTTATCTAAGATGATTGGGAAGATCACAAATGACATGACCTCGAGACACTGCAACCATAAATACATGCGAGTTGCCAAGCACCTGAATTTTTATCACATGAGAATGGGGACATTGCAAAGGTTGTAACTGTAATCATAAGCTACTTTATTCTGCTGTTATAATTTCAAACTGTCTCTAATCAAATGCTTTTAAGTCAAGGATTTTAGGAGAATTGGGAGACTCCTTATTATCTCACAATTTAGAAGCAACCAAAGGGCTGTGATGGATCTTTTGACTTAAAACTCAATAGGGCAAAATGGAAAGGACCCAAATAAAGCCATCTAGACTACCTGTATTGTTGTAGGGTTGAATTGATAGAACAGGTGAATAGAGCTCAGGTAATTAATTGACAATAAAGTCTGGTTTCATTGGCTAGAGAGAAGAAGGCTTGAATCTAATGTGTTTCATTCCTCTGCGGGGAAATGGGTCAAAAGAATTCTAACACTTTAGCTCAGGTTGGAGAGAAATTAAGGGAGAAAAAAAAAACCAAACCTCATATTTTTGCTGAGGGAGAAGGGGTTGCATCTGAGGGCTTGTTTAGTATAGAATGCATTGAGAAAGTTGTTTTCAGTTGCTTGGGTGTGCATTGCATGCTAGCCTACAATTTAATCATGGTTTTTAAATTATGTCACAGTTTAGGATTGTGCAGAATTTTATAAGCTAAAAACAGTGGTGGTTGTTCCTATAACATAACTAAACCATGACCAGTCAAGGACACAATAGCTTAGTCAGCTTTGTGACTTATATCTCTAATATATAAGGAAATGTTGAATGGAGGTTGGTTGATTGTTGGGGGATTTTTAAATAGCTGAGACTCAAGTCTGATTATAATTAATCTATCACCTTGCTTTCCCACAGTGGTAGATAGCATGCTTGTGATTGGAAACAAAATATAAATAATATGGATATGTGTATAAATTAGCATTTTAAAGATAACAGCATGTTAGTTTTGAAATAAGAGATACGTTCTCCTTCAACTCATTTCAGAACTCTAAAAATACATCTAATTATGTCAACCCCATCAGCTTGGGTGGTCTGGGGAAGTCATTAATGGCCAGGTATAGGCTGACAGTTATCTCCTCTGCAATGAACCATGGTGAGATAAACCATGATTAGTATTTCATGTAAGTTCGGGTAAACATTTGCAAACTAATCTCAACTTGAGTTTTGAATTGCTGTTTCTTTTTCCTCCTCAGGATGATCCCCATCAGGGATTAGCGGGGGCTTCAGCTCTGGTGGAAGCTGAAGCAGGCGAAATAGGTAAGTTTTATGGCGGTCCAAGATTAGAAGTTGGGCGAGGTGCTGCTTTCCTCTGCAGCCCTGATTTGAACCCCACTGACTCCAGAACCCTTTTGGACCCTAAGAGGCTGTGTCTATGTGTCTCTCTCAAGATCCTGAACCCTCCAGAGAAGACTTGGAGCTCTCATCGGAGGCGTCTCCTCGGAGGACCAAAAGCACATTGGGAGGAGTAGGGGATAGCCTCCTGGCCTCCGGCAGAAATGGCGATGATGGAGTCTGGACACAAGCAACTGGGAGTGGAAAAGAAGGAGGATGTATGTCTCCAGAATCAGGAGGCCCCTTGGCTGGCTCAAGCCCTAGTCCCACCCCAGGGAGCAAAGGCCTACCAGGTGAGTCGGGAAGGGGATTGGTGCCTGGGGAGCATGTCAATAGGAAGGTGGTTTTCCTTTGTAGAAAAAAAACCAAGGATTCTCTAGATGACTTTTTTGGCAGGATTATGGTGAGGAGACCTGTAAGGCTGTGGTTGGGTGAGTTCTGTTGGGTGATGTACTATTTTGCATCTCTATTCTCTGGCTGGTGTTGCAGCGGCTGCCGTCTAATTTAGAAGCTTCCTAGACTGAAAATTGGGTATCATATGTTAAGAGGTTGTTTTAGACCAGTGGTAGGCAACCTCGGCTCTTTTATGACTCGTGGACTTCAACTCCCAGAATTCCTGAGCCAGCCAGGAATTCTGCTGGCTCAGGAATTCTGGGAATTGAAGTCCACGAGTCATAAAAGAGCCGAGGTTGCCTACCCCTGTTTTAGACCAACGGGGTCCAGATATAAGTCTGCTCTCAGCTACAGACAGTAGTGGCCAAAATTGTGGAAACCTCTTGGGGAAAGTGTATTTTTGAGGTTTGATGGCTAATAATGCCACTTTTATTTTGGAGTAGTACCATAAAATTATATATCAATGGAAAGAAAATTTAATCAAGAATGTAATGCAACAAAGTTTGTTCAATTATCTGTACTGTATTCTATGAATAGTCGTAGCCAAATAACCAGAAAAAGGAAGCACAACTTGCTTAGGTTGATATCAGGTAGCTTTCCTTCACCTGATTGTAGCCAATGAGCATGAGTGTTTAGAGAGCCAATCAGGTGTCATCTTGCTTTGGAAATGAGCCAATCAGATCACAGTAGGATTCAGTTATTGACCTCAGGTATTGAAGCTGAGAGGAGGACATTTGTCAGTGTATTATGTGATCGATATCAAGTTGGTTGGGTTTTTTTGTGTTCTTTCATTTAGTGAGCTTGTAAAACGTAATAAAATTAAAGTAATGGTGCAAAGAGTTGACTGGTTGCCCAGAAAGCGATGTAAAATAGTATTATTAAGTGAACAAGGCTACAGTTATCAAGAAATTAGAAGAAAAATGGGTGGAAACTTAACCAAAGGTGGCATTTCTACTGTACACTTTTCCCCCAAAGTTTCCACAATTTTGGCCACTACTGTATTTACAAATTTTTTACTTATACATATTTAATATTATTTGTGGCCTGACCCAGCCAGGGGAAGGCACAGTAACACAAGAAATAAAGAGTGATAGGGAAAAAAACCCCACCGTAGTCAATCCAATTGGAAATGCCTGTGATGGACCACCTGCAATCAAATAATCTAGAGCCGAAGTCTTGTTGAAGAAGATTATTTTGCTAGTTCACGAACGGCAATAAGAGTGGCATTTTGTGTGGAACGGTCATGTGGCTTTTCGGTATCTTCATCTCGGTTGCATTCACGTAATCTTGACTGGGTGTCCTAACGTCTCATCCCCTTCTCTTCAGGTCATGCTGCCAAGACTTTCCCATCATCCCCCAGCAAAACAGCTGGGCCCAGCCGAGCCAAGATGTCCCTTACCGGGACCAGCAAGTCCCCAGCTTCTATCCAGAGTTTGGCTATGCGCTTACTAACTATGCCAGGATCACGTCTTCCAGGTGATTCTGGGTCTCCCACAACAGAAGCCCCAGCTGCAGCTCCAGACCCAGATTCGGCCCCAACTCCTGCTCCAGCAGTGGCCTCTCCTCCTGCTCAGCCTTCAGCATCAACCACTGAGGAGGTCAAGCCCAAAGTTCACCGGGCTCGGAAAACAATGTCAAAGCCCAGCAGTGTACAGGTAGGCTTGCAAATGTAGCTTCTGCCCAGGGAGGTGATTCAGAAGATCTGCTGGTTATAATAATAATAATGATGATGATAAAGTTGGAAGGGACCTTGGAGGTCATCTAGTCCAACCCCCTGCTCAGGCAGGAAACCCTATACCATTTGGGACAAATGGCTGTCCAGTCTCCTCTTAAAAACTTCCAGTGTTGGAGCCTTCACCGCTTCTGGAGGCAGGTTGTTCCACTGGTTAATTGTTCTCACTGTCAGGAAGTTTCTCCTTAGTTCTAGGTTGCTTCTCTCCTTGATTAGTTTCCACCCGTTGCTTCTTGTCCTGCCTTCAGGCACTTTGGAGAATAGCTTGACTCCCTCTTCTTTGTGGCAGCCCCTGAGATATTGGAACACTACTATCATGTCCCCCCTCGTCCTTCTCTTTGTTAAACTAGACATACCCAATTCCAGCAACCGTTCCTTATATGTTTTAGATTATATGATTGTGTATACCAGTGTTTGTTGGCAGCTTTAAGATGTGTGGACTTCAATTCCCAGAGTTCCTCAGCCAGCTTGCTAACTGAGGAATTCTGGGATTTGAAGTCCACACATCTTTAAAGTTGCCAAGGTCGAGAAACATTGATGTGCAATGCTCTTTTGGCTACACAGAGAGATGTACTTGGAGATTGGGCTGTCTTTGCTGACAATGATAAGGATAATTTACAGCTATAGATTATTTCAGCAAGGCATTCATTAAACAACTGGGTCCAGAGAAGTTCCCATATCGCTGTGAAAGTTAACCAATGATGACAAATCTTTACATAATGAAGAACAACTTTTGCAAAACCAATGAATATACATATAATCCCACTTTGCCTTTAGGCTGTAGAGTTAATGTGCATCTTATGATTCATTTCAGCAGCTGAACACCATGGATTCTTATTCATGCATTAGATTTTTATCCCATCTTTATTATTTTATAAGTAACTCAAAGGTGGTGATCATACCTAACACTCCTTCCATCTCCTCTTTTTCCCCACAACAACAACAACCCTGTGAGTTGAATTGGGCTGAAAGAGAGTTTCTGGCCCAACGTCACCCAGATGGCTTTCATGCCTAAGGTGGAACTAGAACTCACAGTCTCCTGGCTTCTAGGCCAGCACCTTAATCATTATACCAAGCTGGCTCTCCCCCAAATCACCAAGAGATGCTTTTCGGTGTGTAAATATTTCCTTTGTCTAGAAGATTTGGTGGTTTACACCCTTGAAGTGATCACAGTACTTCTTGCAAGAGAAAAATGGATTGTATGTTTCCCCAAGTGGGGAACTTACAAAAAGTTTGTTTCTTCCAACAACTGATAGCACAACTGGGAGAACTAGCAGCGCAACTTAACATTAATGTATAGCTCAGTGATGGCGAACCTTTTAGAGACCGAGTGCCCAAACTGCAACCCAAAACTCACTTATGTATCGTCGGGTGCCGAGTGGGTGTGGCCCATTGGGTGGGCGTGGCCCATTGGGTGGGCGTGGCTGCGGTAGTAATGGCAGACTGGGTGGGACTAAAAAGTTCAGTCAATCAATTCCAACTTTGCGAGATCTTTTTTTTCCCCGCGAGAAGTTGAAATTGATTGATTGAACCTTTTTTTTTTTTTGCACACGGCGGCAGAGGCCTAAAGCGAAAAGGTTTTATAAAACCCAGCTGAAGGCCTAGGACTGGGGCGACGGCGCGCGTGCCCACAGAGAGGGCTCTGAGTGGCACGCGTGCCATAGGTTCGCCACCACGGGTATAGCTGATCAAAAGCTGTCTAAGAAGCTCCTTATCTGTCCATCCAACCTGATTGTAACACAGCTGCACATCAAGACACAGTTCCTCCTTTCTTTTTCCTAACCTTTCTCTAAACTCAAATACTCAAATAGTATGTCTTCAGTGAATATTGGATTTCTTTTCTTCGTAACCAACAAAATTACAATTGCTTTTGATGCTCAAGAATGACTAATTTTGGAAAAGGATAGGATGGGGTGGAGTGGAGAGTGGAGTGGAACAGAACAGAACAGAACAGAACAGAACAGAACAGAACAGAATAGAATAGAATAGAATAGAATAGAATAGAATAGAATAACAGAGTTGGAAGAGACCTTGGAGGTCTTCTAGTCCAACCCCCTGCTTAGGCAGGAAACCCTAGCCCAGGGGTAGGCAACCTTGGCTCTTTTATGACTCATGGACTTCAACTCCCAGAATTCCTGAGCCAGCCATGCTGAGGAGAAATGGAGAGGTTTCCATGCTGAGCCATGCCGGCTCAGGAATTCTGGGAGTTGAAGTCCACGAGTCATAAAAGAGCCAAGGTTGCCGACCCCTGCCCTATACCATTTCAGACAAATAGATCCTCTGGTTTCGGATCTTTTTATATGGTGTCTTCCGGCTGGGTAGGACTATGATTTCCATTACCCTAAACGGCCATCCTAGAGAAATGGACACGATAGCCCTACATATCTGGTTGGTACTAGGCTGGAGAAGCTGGCTGTGGAATTCTGGGAAATGAAGTCCACTTTTCTTAAAAGGGGCCAAGGTTGAGAAACACTGTTACAGGCCCAAACAGGGATTCTGAATTGTTTTTCTACACAGCTGCAAAATTCCGTTCTGCGCAATATTTGGGCTTGCATGATCATCTTTTTTTCTATTGTATTTCTGCACTGCGTGAGATTTCTGCTAATGCAAATCACGTGAAGTATTAATACCACTTTACAATGCCTTGGTAAGGCCACACTTGGAATACTGCATCCATTTCGGTCACCACGATGTAAAAAAGATGTTGAGACTCTAGAAAGAGTACAGAGAAGAGCAACGAAGATGATTAGGGGACTGGAGGCTAAAACATATAAGGAACGGTTGCTGGAATTGGGTATGTCTAGTTTATCGAAGAGAAGGACGAGGGGGGACATGATAGCAGTGTTCCAATATCTCAGGGGCTGCCCCAAAGAAGATGGAGTCAAGCTATTCTCCAAAGCGCCTGAAGGCAGGACAAGAAGCAACGGGTGGAAACTAATCAAGGAGAGAAGCAACCTAGAACTAAGGAGAAACTTCCTGACAGTGAGAACAATTAACCAGTGGCACAACCTGCCTCCAGAAGCGGTGAATGCTCCAACACTGGAAGTTTTAAAGAAGAAACTGGACAGCCATTTCTCCCAAATGGTATAGGGTTTCCTGCCTGAGCAGGGGGTTGGACTAGATGACCTCCAAGATCCCTTCCAACTTTACTATTATTATTATTATTATTATTATTATTATTATTATTATTATTATTATTATTATTATTATTATTATATTGATGGGGCTATATCTAAAAAATAATGAAATCCTCACTGTACGGATGATCGGCCTTCCTTTTCTCCTTCCCCCCCAAGGTGCCTGAAAAAAGGGTCTCAGAAATGTTGCATTTCCGTGTCTCGGATGACTTGAGAAGCCTCATAGAACCAGGTACGGAGCCCTTGGATTTTAGAAGGGCTGGTATGGAAATATATTTGGGACTAAAAGCATTGGCTAGAGCAGATTGCTCAACCTAGTCTTCTACGCCTGCTGGAGATTCTGGGAGTTGTGGTCCCGTCACTGGGCGGTAGAGGGGGTTGTTAAGTCTACTGGATTCTAATTTCATTCTTTTTCCTTCTCTTTCTAAAGAAGAACCTGCGAAGCACAGGAAATACGATTACATGGCAGATGCGTTGCACAAAAGGATTCCCCTCTCACTTCAGCGGTCAAGTCCCAGGGCTACCACAGAGGTGCGTCCCTTCCTTTGAAAGGCTTAGTGGAGGGGTCTTCAAACTCAGCCCTTTTATGACTTGTGGACTTCAACTCCCAGAATTCCTCAGCCAGGCACGCGTGCCTGGCTGAGGAATTCTGGGAGTTGAAGTCCACAAGTCATAAAAGGGCCGAGTTTGAAGACCCCTGAGATAGAGGAAATAGAGGCACGGAATGGGACAACTCGCTTCAGCCAATTCGCTGCAGGACAATTCCAACAATTCAATTTACTTCGTTAAAATAATTTTAAAAATAAAGTTTAATTTTTGCCATTTACATTTTATTTTGTCCCTTCTTTGGCATCCTTTCTATCATGATTCTAGGGCAGTGGTGGCGAACCTTTTAGAGACCGAGTGCCCAAACTGCAACCCAAAACCCACTTATGCATCGTCGGGTGCCGGGTGGGTGTGGCCCATTGGCTGGGCGTGGCTGTGGTGGTAACGGCAGACTGGGTGGGACTAAAAAGTTCAATCAATCAACTCCAACTTTGCAAGATCTGTTTTTTTCCCCGCGAGAAGTTGAAATTGACTGATTGAACCTTTTTTTTTTTGTACACGGCGGCAGAGGCCTAAAGCGAAAAGGTTTTATAAAACCCAGCTGAAGGCCTAGGACTGGGGTGACGGCGTGCGTGCCCACAGAGAGGGCTCTGAGTGCCGCCTCTGGCACCCGTGCCATAGGTTCGCCACCACTGTTCTAGGGGGACTATTGGTGTGACTCTTGTCCTGCGGCAAGCTGTTCTGCGGCGAGTTGGCCACGGCGAGTTGTCATAGACCAGGGGTCTTCAAACTTGGCCCTTTGATGACTTGTGGACTTCAAGGAATTCTGGGAGTTGAAGTCCACAAGTCGTAAATGGGCCAAGTTTGAAGACCCCTGGCTTAGTGGTTCTCCTAAGGACCAAAGGTTGAGTTTAAGGACCACCTACCTATTGGATTAAAGGATTTATCTGCATGAGTGATAATGCGTTTCAAACTGTGTCTTAATTGAATAAAGAGCAGGAGCACCGGGAAGAAGAGAGAAAAGCTCACTGATTTTAAGGTGATGCAGAGATGCATCCCAGGAAAAATTGCAGGAAACGTATCGGCAGATCCGGGTGTTAAAATTGTCTAAGGAAGCCCTGATAGTAACTGGGAAAGGTAGACTTGCTGATAATACAGGTAGTCCTCGACTTACAACAGTCCATTTAGCGACTGTTCAAAATTACAACAGCACTGAAAAGGGTGACTGAAGACCATTTTTCACACTTAACGACCGTTGCAGCATCCCCATAATCACGTGATCAAAATTCAGACTTTTGGCCACTGACTCATATTTATGACGGTTTCAGTGTTGTGGGCTCATGTGGTCATCTTTTGGGACCCTGACAAGCCAAGTCAATGGGGAAGCCAGAATCACTTAACAACCATGTTACTAACTTAACAACAGCAGTGATTCACTAAACAACAGTGGCAAGAAAAGTCATAAAATGCGGCACAATTCACTTAACAACTGTCTCACTTAGCCACAGAAATTTTGGGCTCAATTGTGGTCGTACGTTGAGGACTATCTATATGTCTCTGTAGCTAGTCTGGTGTACTTTATTTGTAAACTTGAAAAATTTAAAACGAATGCACTATTCTGTGAAATAAGGCCAGATTCCGGGCAGGGGAAATTCTGGGAGTTGAAGTCCACCCATCTTTTAAAGTTGCTGAGTTTGCGAAACATTTTCAGAGTTGTTCTCCTGCACGTCTTTTATTTTGCACGGCTTCGGTGCCAGCCTTTGAGAAGTAACTCCTACAGTAGAAAAGCAGAAAGCATCTCCTCCTTCTTAAGCAGTGGTTCGCAACCTGTGGGTCGGGACCCCATTTGGGGTCGATCGACCATTTCACGGGGGTCGCCAAGCAAGGCTGTCCGCCATTTTTTTTGTCCGCCATTTTTTTGTCCGCCATTTTTCCCCTTTTCCGGCGGGTGCCTTACCTCCCTTGGGCTGGGCCAGCTGGTGGTCGGCCTGCTCCGTCTCTGCCGCTTGCCAGCTACGCCTCGGCTGGCGCAGGGGGTGGAACCACACATGCGCGGCGCTCCCGGGCAGGGAAAGTCCTCAACTTACGACCGGTTGGGTAGTCCTTAACTTACGACCGGTTTAGTCCTCGACTTACAACTGGTTTAGTCCTCGACTTACGTCCGGTTTAGTCCTCGACTTACGACCGGTTGGGGTCGCGGCATTAAAAAGGTTGAGAACCACTGTTCTTAAGTAACCCTAACTGCAGTCTTTAGCAACGCCACATCTCACATAAAAATAATCCTTCATCAGTTTTTAATGAAAGTCCATCCTTTGCCACAGATTACAGTGACGGAAGAGATGACGGCTCCAGCTACAGCCTCGCAGGAGGATGGAGGCCAAGAATGGGAGACTGAAGTGGGCGATGACTTCAGCCTTTTCTATGACAGCTACTCTGTGGATGGCCACATCGATTCGGACAGCAAGGTAGGAAGAATAAGTTTGTAGGTGGCATCTGGGTCCTCAAAAATTGTCTTGTATGTACCCCAATTTACAACCTAAGTGTTGGAGATGTGGAAATTTAGATGCATCTTATTTTCGTATTTGGTGGACATGTAGGGAAGTTAAAGCATTTTGGATTAAGATATGGTGGAATACTCAAAATATTTTTAAGCAAAAGATAAAAGTTTAAGCCGCAGATATTTTTGTTGGGTTTTATGGAAGACTTGGATGCAAAAGAAATGGAATTGATGTTGAACTTTATAACTGCTGCAACACTATTAGTAGCTCAATATTGGAAAACGGAACGTTTACCTATTATAGAAAAATGGTCACTTAAAGTCTCGAATTTAGCAGAAATGGCCAAGATTTCCACTTATGTGAAGGATCACTCGCAAGAAAGATATATTTTGGTTTGGAGAAGATGGATAGATTATATTGAGCGTAAATATGGGACTAAAAAATATCATTTGGTTTTTGAGTAAATTTTAGAGTATTATTGTTGTACAAAGGTTAGAATATTTTATTTAGTATTATTTTTAATTATTAAAGTGTTATTATTATTGTTTTTAATAATTGTACTGTTTAAAAGAGAGTTAAAGGAGGTTATAGATATGTTATCTTAATAGTTGATTAATGTTAATTAGAGTATGATTATGTTATTGTTAACCCTGTGATTGGCACTGGGAAGTGAGGGGGGAGGGAGGGGGGGTGGAAGGGTGGGAAGGGGAAGGGGGGGATTTATATTGTAAAATTTTATAAAATTTTCAATTAAAAAAAAAGAATAAGATGGTGCCCGTCTGATTCAACTGAGGCGTTTCTCAAGCTTGGCGAGTTGAAGATGCGTGGACTTCAACTCCCAGAATTCCCCAGCCAGCATGACTGGCTGGGGAATTCTGGGAATTGAAGTCCACGCATCTTCAACTCGCCAAGGTTGAGAAACACTTTATTAATCCCTTAAGACTCATTCAAGGAGTTTAGGATGGTGCAACTTACTGAAAAATTTAACCCCTTTGTGCAACTGCCAGGATCGGGCTTTTAGTAACCCAGCCCAGGGTGCTGAGGCTTCTCTTGGATTTGGGAGGTGTCCTTTAAATTTCCCAGAATGCCGTTGCGTTAAAGGCATTGTGGAGAATTACAGTGATTCCTTTTGCCCACTGGTGCTGCCTCTCAAGCTAGACAATCCCTTCCTTTATCTTGTGGTTTCTTGGTACAGTCAGCCAGATGTTCAGACTGGATTTGACAATTTTGTCCACCTACTGAGTCCTTCCCCAAGGACCTAGGATAGGCAGATGTGGATGTTTGATGATGATACAGATACTGTCTCTGGTTGTAAGCTGTTCATATTTATTTTTATGAGATTTATATCCTGCCTTTCACGCCATTCCAGTTGGTGCATCCACTTCCTATTTTCCCCACAAAAACAACAACAACAACACTGTGAAGTTGTTGGGCGGGGAGAAAGAGACTCAGCCCCAAATCATCCAGCTGGCTTTTGTGCATCATGGAATACAAGAACTCACGGTCTCCCAGTTTCTAGTCCAGCACCTGAACTAGATCAAATTACAGGTGGTCTTTGCTTAGTGACCACTCATTCAGTGGCCAGTCAAACTTATGAATCAATGAACAAGTAGCCTGGTCCTGAGACTCTGGTGTCTTGCCATTCTGTTGGAGGGGGGGAAGAGGAGGCACTTTTTCAGTAACAGCATGGGAATTAGAGAGGGGGATCGTCTTCGGAGACAAGACAGATTCCCTCTCGGCCGGTTCCAGCCTGACTCCAAGGTGGCTGCACCTTGAGGATGACCCATTATCAGACTTGTACCTCAGCGTTCTCAAAACAACTTTGCAGCAATATATTGACTGCCGGTGGTCAGGGTGAGGGGGTGAGGTGGGTTTTGGAATGGAAAGAATTACTTTGTGCTTTGCGCAGGACTGTTAGATTCGGCCTGACTTTACTGCAATCACTTTCTCTAAAAGTTCTTTTGATGAATCCTATGCAGTCAAGAGTCATGCTTTCCTGAGAAGACTGGCTGTCACAGTGTCCCTACTGTTATGATTTGCTTAAGTATAGCAGCCGGGAACGCCAGTTTCTGTCACTAAGCAGCACCGTCATGTGTTTTATGATGATGTTGCTTAGCGATGGATAATAATAATAATAATAATAGTAGTAGTAGTAGTAGTAGTAAAGATGGAAGGGACCTTGGAGGTCATCTAGTCCAACCCCCTGCTCAGACAGGAAACCCTATACCATTTCGGACAAATGGCTGTCCAGTCTCTTCTTAAAAACTTCCAGTGTTGGAGCATTCACCGCTTCTGGAGGCAGGTTGTTCCACTGGTTAATTGTTCTAAGGAAGTTTCTCCTTAGTTCTAGGTTGCTTCTCTCCTTGATTAGTTTCCATCCGTTGCTTCTTGTCCTGCCTTCAGGCTCCAGTCCCAATTGTTGTCGTTAACTGAGGACCAGGTGCTTAAGAGATCTCTTATAGAGAAACAAAATATTGCAGGGACTCCCTTACAGAGCTATATGGGACTTCTTTTAAAAGTTTGAAATTCCAACTTTGGATACATGTTTTGTATCTCTTTCCCTTCTCTTTCTGTTTTTTTTTTTTTTTGTGAAAAATGTCAGTAGACCTGGGAAATCCCCCCCCCCAAAGATTAGATACCTGTGCCATTGTCCAATCAGACGGAGTAATCTGAAAGATGATTTCAGTGGCCTGAATAAATTTTGCAAAACGAGACCTGTACAATTTCTTATTTTGGATGTTTTATTTTGCCCCTTCCTCGGAACAGGGAGGAGATACATTAGCGCAGGGCTTTTCAACCAGTGGTACGGGTACCACCTGTGGTACATTGGCACCTGGCAGGTGATACGCGACCATCCTAGAAAAGTAGCGGGGGAGGGGAATGAGCTGAACCGTTGGCAGCACTGCACAAGCCTGAGCGAGAGAAGGCTGGAGCTGCAGGGCTGTCAGGGCTCAGCGGAAGTGCCAGGATCAGTGCCAGGCTCCAGCTGGAGCTCTGCGCTGATCCTGGTGCTTCTGCTGAGCCCTGAAGAAGCACCAATCAGCTGGAATGTTGCAGCATCACCAGGGTCTTGTGATTTACATTCAGATGCTTGGCAACTGATTCATATTTATGACGGTCACAGTGTCCCAGGGTCATGTGGAGTGACCAAAACCTGCTGCAACCACCCAGCAGACGGGGGAAATAAAAATCAAACACCCCCCACCCTCACCCCCGCTGCCAATCCTCAACAGAAATGCTCACAACAATGAAAACCTCAGACAGGAGGAAGAGCACCACCGGGCAGGCAGGTAGGTGTCTTGCTCGGCTGTGCCTTGGGGGGCCCTTTTTTCAGTGCCATTGTAACTTCGAACAATCACTAAGCGAACTGTTGTAAGTCAAGGACTACCTGTACTTTATCACTTTTTTCCTTTTTTTTTTTTTTTGACCCCTTGCTAGGCGACTGGTGGTACTCGGATGTTGCCATATCCTAAAAGTGGTACAATGGGTGAAAAGGTTGAAAAGCCCTGCACTAGCGAACCGGAAGCAGATCCCTTGCAGATTCAATTTAGTGCCCTTTGACTTTAGAGATATCAAAGGGCTTTGTTCATAGGTTTCTCTATTAAAGTTGCAGTCAGGAGGACTCAAATCTTATTGTGGAAAGAAACATGGAAATCTTAGAACAGAGGTCCTCAACCTTTTGAGCACCAGGGACCGGTTCCGTGGAGAGAGGTTTTTCTGCAGACCGGAAGGGGCGTGGTTTCATGTACTTCCTGCATCCCGCGGATGGGGCTTTGCTTGTTTGCACGGACCGGTTTCTGGCTTGCCGTGGCCCGGTGCCAGTCCACGGACTGGGGGTTGGGGATCCCTGTCTTAGAAGACTACATTGAACAGCAATGCAACATTCAGTGTTTGTTTTTTCTTAGTTTTCCCTTCATGTCATAAATAACAAGGATGAGCTTAATGTGGCAGTTAACGAACAGCTATTCCTTTAGGAAAACAGCTGGTTAGGTATACCTTCAGAATATTTATCCCTGAAAGATTATTCCAGATATTTTTGGGGGGATCCTTACATATAGGACATTCCATCAGGATAAGAAGACTTGATAGGAGCTCTGGTTGGAACTGAAAGCAGGATTTCCAATTTTACTTTTCTTTTCCCCTCCTCATTGTTTTAATTCATTCATTTATTTTGGTTACAGTCTGACGTAGATGTTACTGGAGAACATATGAGTGAGGAAGAGGAAGAAGAAGAGGAGGAGGAGGAAGAGGAGGAAGAAGAAGAGGAAGAAGAAGAAGAGGAAGAAGATGAAGATGACGAGGAAGAGTCAGGAAACATCTCTGATAGGGTGAGTTGACACTCATCTGGGTCGGATAGGGATTTATTCTCGGCGACCCCCTCGGTTTATTTATTTCTAAGATTTCTGTTAATCACTTTGTGGAATTCAGACCTGCCACTTCTAATGCACAGATGTTAATATTTTGATACGTTGGGCCCATTTTGGTTTAGAGGTCTCTTGTTTTATATCAGTGTTACAATTAATTGCAATATCTAATTCTGTCAATTGCTACTTCTTTTTATGTCCACCATGCTTGGTTACAAGTTGATAAGTATTGCTACTAAATGTCTATGGAGATTCTCAGTCATCCAGGTCATGGTTGTCCCAAAGGTACTTTTTTCAAAAAGGCAACTGGACTTTGTTTTTGTTTTTTCCCTTGAAGACATCTGGCTTCTCATCCTAGAACTAAAGAAGCTTCTTGAATGAGAAGTGAAACCTCTTCAAGGAAAAACAAAGTCCAAGTTGCCTTTTTGGGGGGAAAAAAAAGCACCTTTGGGATATTGCTACTAAACTCCTAATTTGCACTCTCGGGCCCAAAAGCACAAGACCTGTTTGCAGCTTTCAAGCAAGAGTTGCCCACCTCTGATTTGTCACTCAGTCACATGTACAGGTAATCCTCGACTTATGACCACAATCGGAACCGGAACTTCCATCACTAAGTGATGTAGCGAGTGACACTTCATTTTATGACCTGTCAGAACAGTGATGGCAAACCTTTTAGAGACCGAGTGCCCAAAAATCGCCCCCCACCCCCGTTCCCGCTCTGCCCTACCCACTGGGCCACCCACCACCTCCACGGCCTGCCACAGATCACCCAGGCAGCCCAGCAGCACCATGGCGGCCACGCCCTCCACCCATGCCCCGCAGCATCATCTGTGTGCGACGGGGCACAAGGTCGGAGTCTTGTCCCCGCTGCTTGGCTACCATGTCCTTGGCTGTAATGCTTCGCGTGGGCCATGCCCAGGGGTGACTCTCCTCTGGGGGGGGGCTGCTGGTGAGGGGGCCGTGGGAGGAGGCGGGGCTGGGGAGACGGTGCGTGTGCCCACAGAGAGGGCTCCGAGTGCCGCCTCTGGCACCCGTGCCATAAGTTCGCCACCACTGTGTCAGAACATGCACAGTCTTATTGTGCTGAGGTAACCCAGGAGTAAATGCAGTACACAGTGGTTTGTATCAGATGTGATTTATATTACACTATATCTACAAATATACACTAGAAATAAAATACATACACGTGGTGAAACAGCAGCTCCAATACACAGCAGTTACAGCAGTCAAACGGACGAGAGAGGAAAAACTCCAGTAAAAAAACCTCCCCTTTTATACTCAGCCTCTTAAAGGCACAGACACAGACCCTGCCGAGTCATTCCTAATATTGCATCATCCTATCATTGCATCACCCACATTACATTACATCTTTACATAAGCTGTTTAGCTGTTAAATTATTATCCTGACACGACCGTTTTTACCCTGTGGTTAAGCGAATCATCACCTCGTTAACTGAATCACATGGTCATTCTGGCTTCCCTCCTTGACTTTACTTGTTGGAATCCCGTGCAGTATTGCAGATTGACACTGCCCACGGTCGGCAGTTCGATCCTGACCAGCTCAAAGTTGACTCGGCCTTCCGAGGTCAGTAAGATGAGGACCCAGATTGTTGGGGGAACGATATGCTGACTCTGTAAACTGCTTAGAGCAGTGTTTCTCAACCTTGACAACTTTAAGGCATGTGGACTTCAACTCCCAGAATTCCACAGCCAGCATTGCTGGCTGTGGAATTCTGGGAGTTGAAGTCCACATGCCTTAAAATTGTCAAGGTTGAGAAACACTGGCTTAGAGGATGCTGTAAAGCACTGTGAAGCGGTATATAAGTCTAAGTCAGTGGTTCTCAACCTTTTTAATGCCGCGACCCCAACCGTTCGTAAGTCGAGGACTAAACCGTTCGTAAGTCGAGGACTAAACTATTCGTAAGTCGAGGACTACCCAACCGGTCGTAAGTCGAGGACTTTCCCTGCCCGGGAGCACCGCGCATGCGTGGTTCTGCCCCCTGCGCCGGCCGTGGTTCCGCCCCCTGCCGCTTGCCATAGCTGGCAAGCGGCAGAGACGGAGCAGGCCGACCACCAGCTGGCCCAGCCCAAGGGAGGTAAGGCACCCGCCGGAAAAGGGGAAAAAAATGGCGGACAAAAAAAATGGCGGACAGCCTTGCTTGGCGACCCCCATGAAATGGTCAATCGACCCCAAATGGGGTCCCGACCCACAGGTTGAGAATCACTGGTCTAAGTGCTATTGTTATTGCTATTGCTATAAATGGTGACCCCAGAACATTGCAACTGTCATAAATACATAGTGGTTGCCACGCACTCAATTTTGATCACGTGACCACAAGGATGCTGTGACAGTCATAAGCGCAAGGACCAGGCATAAGTCACTTTTTCAACACCATGGCAACTTTGGTTCTTAAATGAATGGTCATAAGTTGAGGACTGCCTATAATTCTAACAGGAAGTTGGCTTGTAATAGATTAGGCTCTTTACCTATTTAGACCAAGATCCGTGCAGTAGCCTCCTGTAGACAGACCCATTGTGTCATGGTTCCGACAGATGAAACTCTTCAAAGAACTTCGAGGCATTGTTTACCTTAAAAAATCTTGTTCCTGGCCCTGATCTGTGGCCCTGCTCATCTGGGGCTCTTCTGTTTTTCTTGTCCTCTAGAGCACTGCCTCCAGCTCCAAACGTAAAGCCCGAAAGCGTTGGCGGCACGACAGTCCATGGATCAAGCCATCCCGAAAACGCAAACGCAAAGAGCCGCATCCCACGGAAAACACAGGTGATTCTCTGTCAGGGCTAACCAAATCTGGAATGCGGAACTTATTCTCTCTCTCCCTTTGCGATGGTGTTTTTCTGCCGTGGCAACTTTAAGATGTATGGACTTCAACTCCCAGAATTCCCCAGCCAGCAGAATGCGGAAAAGAAAGACACGATACCTCTGGATTTTGATGGGGAAGCTTGCTGGAGGTTACGACAGAAAAATCACTCTTTTAAGAAGATGCTGGTCTTTTGTTGGTAGAACCTTCCTTTGGAAGGACCCAGAAATAGCTGTCTTAAAAAGATAGTTAAAAAGAGATGTGTGGTTTAGCTAGGACTACGGCAGATAGGTACCTTCTGTCGACTCCCAACATTCATTTCAAGTCTGATCAAGATCTCAAATCATTTGGGAGCCCGAGATTAGAAGATGTTGACTTGTTTCATTTTTCTTTCGCAGAGTTTTGGGGGGGATAGGTGAGAAGTTCTCTCTCATTGTGTCCATTATGGTAACTTGCTGGGCAGGTTGTACTGCAGTTTGAGTGATTGACTCAAGGTCTTCAGCTGAGGTTCATGTCTGAATAGGGATTTGAACCTAGGTCACCTTGGGCCTAGTCTTCATCCCACTTAACCACTAAGGAAGGCATCAATCTACTCCCTAACAATCTGTTTTGAGGAGATAGAAGATAGGACTAAATAATAATAATAATAATAATAATAATAATAATAATAATAATAATAATAATATAATAATAATAATAATAATAATAATAATAATAATAATAATAATAATAATAATAATAATAATAATAATAATAATAATAATAAAGTTGGAAGCAGTGAATGCTCCATCAGTGAAGGTTTTTAAGAAGAGACTGGATAACCATTTGTCTGAAATGGTATAGGGTTTCCTGCCTGAGCAGGGGGTTGGACTAGATGGCCTCCAAGGTCCCTTCCAACTTTATTATTATTATTATTTGGATTACGAACAAAATATAATAATAATATTCATGTGCTTTTCGTGGTCGGGGACACTCCTTATTCTCTGTTTCCTTCCTTAGGTCTGAATGGGGGCCCATCAACCACCCAGAGCGAGTATACGGAGGTGCCTCTTGGCTGCCTGGAGCTGCCTAACGAGGTGGCACTGTCCCCCAACAATGCCGGTGTGTGTCCATCCATCCCTCCTCTACCTTTGGAGCAGCAGGGTTCAATACTTCAAGCTGTGTTGCCTTGGGAGGGTAGTTTTGAGCGTATATATTTTCCTTTTTTTAAGAGGGACTTTGTTCACAACTTTCACTGTACTATGCAGGTGAGAAACGTTGGCTATTGAAGCAAAGCTATTGTGGTATATCTGACTATCAGACCCAGAGGAAAGAGAGTGGGCTTGGGATACCTTTTGAACATTGCCTTCTCCCAAATAATCTTATTGCTGTCTTTTTTTACAACTTGGGCTTCCTCCACTGCATCTGCTACCTCGACAGCAAATCATCCTGGATCATTGGTGGCTCATCGTTCATGGACCCATAAGTTGAGCAGAGCCTGGAAGCTCAGGGGAAGGGGCGCTGTTGAGAAGGATGGTGTTGATTTAAGACCCCAGAGTTGGAAGATGGGAAGTTGCAACTGGAGCTGTAGGTTGACCTCCACCTCTTAAGCTAGTGTAGCTAAGAGCTTGGGTGGCGCAGTGGTTAAAGTGCAGCATTGCAGGCAAACTCTGCCCACAGCATGGAGTTTCATCCTGACAGGGCTCAAGGTGGACTCAGCCTTCCATCCTTCCGAGTAAGATGAGGACCCAGATTGTTGGGGGCAATATGTTGATGCTATAAACTGTTTAGAGAAGGCTGTAAAGCACTGTGAAGTGGTGTTTAAGTCTTAACGTGCTAGTGCTATTGACTCACCCTTCCAAGGTTGGTAAAATGAGGACCCAGATTGTTGGGGGGCAATATGCAAATAATGCTTACATTGTAAACTGCCCAGAAAGTGCTGTTAAAACATTACCGAGCAATATATAAGCCTAAATGCTATTGCTTGTGTAGTGCCTTCATGTGCTATAGAACAATTAATTTTCCCAAGAGGCCACATGAAAAACCAGGACAGTTGTGGAAGGCTGAACCAATAAGGTGCGAAAGTGTGTAGGCAGGCATGCAGGTATATATGTAAATTGGGGGAAAAAATAGTCACCTTCAAAACCAATCCATGTGGGTCAGACAGGGACAGCAAAAGGCCAAATTTAGCCCTGGGGGCATAAAATGCTCAGGTCTGTTGTAGAAGTTGCTCTCCAATTGCCAGTGTTGAAGAACAGGTGCATTAGTGTTTGTACATGGAGAGGCTGCCATCTTCTCTTCAAACTCAAGGCACAGGTGTCTAAAGATTTAGACCAGGGGTCTCCAGCCTTGGCCAACTTTATGACTTGTGGACTTCAACTCCCAGAATTCCTCAGCCAGCTGGGATCACGGTCCTTGGATCATGGCTGTCTGAGGAATTCTGGGAGTTCTGAAGTCCACAAGTCGTAAAGCTGCCAAGATTGGGGACCCCGATTTAGAGCATCTAATAAACTTTGGGATGCCCAATGGATAGAGCTTGACCTAGATGGGCAAAGAACATGGACCCGCATGGCTGACAAGTAGGCCTTCCAGGAGACACATCATGTCCTTCTCCCTCTTCCCAGGTGTGTCTAATGAGACGAGTTCGCTGGAAACCGAACGCTTTGAGGAACTTCCGTTATGTTCCTGCCGCATGGAAGCCCCAACCATTGAGCGGCTTAGCCAGCAGGCTGGAAATCAATGCATGGCAACCGAGAGTGCTGATGGGGAGGTAAGCCAGGATGGAGAGTCTGGAAGGAAGAAGCTCCAGATGGTTTTATTTAAGTACTTTCCATTTTGCCCTATTGATTTTTTAAGTCAAAACATTCATTGCGGCCTCTCTGTTGCTTCTAAATAATAATAATAAGGGTTCTGTGTAATGCAAGTAGTCCTCAACCCAATTTTAAGCTGATCTTTGATATTAAGTTTTAGCTCAGTGGTTCTCAACCTGTGGGTCGGGACCCCATTTGGGGTCGATCGACCATTTCATGGGGGTCGCCAAGCAAGGCTGTCCTCCATTTTTTTTGTCCGCCATTTTTTTTCCTTTTCCGGCGGGTGCCTTACCTCCCTTGGGCTGGGCCAGCTGGTGGTCAGCCTGCTCCGTCTCTGCCGCTTGCCAGCTACGCCTCGGCCGGCGCAAGGGGTGGAACCACGCATGCGCGGCGCTCCCGGGCAGGGAAAGTCCTCGACTTATGACCGGTTGGGTAGTCCTTGACTTACGACCGGTTTAGTCCTCGACTTACGACCGGTTTAGTCCTCAACTTACGACCGGTTGGGGTCGCGGCATTAAAAAGGTTGAGAACCACTGTTTTAGCTGAAGATGGCAAACTTGACATCTGAATGAAATGGGTCTTTTCTGCCATCTGAAACAAAGACAGTTTAACCCCCAAGGCAGGGTTTCTCAATCTTAGAGGCTTTAAGATGTGTGGACTTCAACTCCCAGAATTCCTTAGCAAGCATGGCTGGCTGAGGAATTCTGGGAGTTGAAGTCCACACATCTCTTAAAGTCACCAAGACTGAAACGTTACCCTAATAAATTACCTCAGTGGGACCTGGCCCACAAACAAGTGGAGACAGCTTCTCCTTTCTGCCTTTACAGCTCAATGGCTGCAGCAGCAGCATTTTGAAGCAAGAAACGATGCGTCCCTCCAGCCGGGTTCCCCTCATGGTCCTGTGCGAAGCCCACCGTGCCCGGATGGTGAAGCATCACTGCTGCCCTGGATGTGGCTACTTCTGCACGGCGGTGAGGAATGAAAATCGGCAGGCGTGTGGGGACCTGAAAATGGGGTGAGAGGGTCACCATCCACCCTCTGGGGGTATTTGAGGGGCAGAGCGCAGTCCTGAGACTACCTGAATGAACCCATTGGGTGCCATTTTGAGCTAATTGACCTCAAGGTCAATTAGCTCAATTGACAGTAGAGAGGACCAGGCTTCAGTTACGTCTTCTAGGCCTGCTCATCCTGGGGAATTTGGCTGCTTGCTAGCGGCAAAGGTTGGGTTTTTATATCTTGTTCTTCCTGAATTTTCAGTTCTACTATTTCTAGCAAGCCTGGTTGTCAACTCCAATGTTGGCTTACCCAGTAACCTTTCAAATGTTGGGAAACTACAACAGGGCTTTTCAACCAGTGGTACGGGTACCACCTGTGGTACATTGGCACCTTGCAGGTGGTACGTGACCATCCTAGAAAAGTGATAGCGGGAGAGGGGAATGAGCTGAACCGGTGGCAGCACCGCACAAGCCTGAGTGAGAGACGGCTGGAGCTGCAGGGCTGTCAGGGCTCAGCGGAAGCACCAGGATCAGTGACGCTTTCCAGCTGATCGGCACTCCTTCGGGGTTGTCAGGGCTCAGTGGAAGCGCCAGGATCAGCGCCAGGCTCCAGCTGGAGCTCAGCGTTGATCCTGGCGCTTCTACTGAACCCAGAAGAAGCACCGATCAGCTGGAATGTTGCAGCATCTCCAGGGTCTTGTGATTTACATTCAGATGCTTGGCAACTGATTCATATTTATGACGGTCACAGTGTCCAAGGGTCATGTGAAGTGACCAAAACCTGCTGCAACCACCCAGCAGACGGGGGGGGGGAATGAAAACCAAACACCCCCCACCCCACTCCCGCTGCCAATCCTCAACAGAAATGCTCACAACAATGGAAACCTCGGACAGGAGGAAGAGCGCCCCCGGGCGGACAGGCAGGTGTCTTGCTCGGCTGTGGCTTGGGGGCCACTTTTTTCAGTGCCCTTGTAACTTTGAACAGTCACTAAGCGAACTGTTGTAAGTCGAGGACTACCTGTACTTTATCACTTTTTTCCTTTTTCTTTTTTTTTTTTTTTTTTGGTCATCAAGTTTTTGACACCTTGCTAGGTGACTGGTGGTACTCGGATGTTGCCATATCCTAAAAGTGGTATAATGGGTGAAAAGGTTGAAAAGCCTTGAACTACAATCCTCATCATGTCTCTGGAGACTCTCAGTCTTCCAGGTCATAGTTGTCCCAAAGGTGCTTTTGTCACGAGGCAACTGGACCTTCTTGTTTTTCTTTGAAGACGTTTCGCTTCTCATCCAAGAAGCTTCTTCGACTCTGACTGGATGGTGAGGGATGGAAGGATTTATATTCCTCGCAGACAGCTGGTCATTTGCATTCTTTTAAAGAGTCATTGAGGCCATTTGGAGGTTTACCTGTGTCCTCAGGGTCACCTGAGTGGTGCAAATGTGTATGGAGCCTTCTTGGAACTGTTGTAGACTGGAGATAGATGATGTCGTATCCCTCTCCCTCTGTTAAGAGAGGGCTGTTCAATTTTGACATACATGGTCTCTTTGACCTCCTCTTTCAAACCAGCGGTCCCCTCTGTCCAAAATGTGGACTTTGCTATCTTCAAAAGAGCGACCTTTGTCTTTTAAATGCAGATGGACTGCTGAATCCTGTCCTGATGGGTTTGTTCTCCTTTGTCGTGCCGTGCCTTTATTAAGTGGTTGTTTTGTTTCCCCAGTGTACAGATCTGCACATGGCTCACTGCATTGTACTGCATATACCACGTTGCTCAGTTTGTGTCTGGGTGTTTTATCCTTGGGGTGGACAAGCTTCTGCCTTAGTGTATTCTTGGGTTTGAAGTGTGCACGTATGTTGTGTTGGCCGAAGATTCTCCTGAGTTTTTCCCATATTCCTGCAACGTATGGAATGACTACGTTACTTCGTTTATTGTTTATTTTTTCTTTGTCTGTTATGGAGGAGCTCCTGCTGGGTCTTTTTTGAGATTTGATGATAGCCACAGGTTCTGAGGGCTTCCTGGATGTGTTTTCTTTTCCTTTTCCATCTTTGCTGGGAGGCAGGGCTTCAGCTTTTGTGCTTCAGTGGGTGGTGAGAATCAAAATATAAATATTGATCTCTGTGTGGGTTTTCTGTAAATTTCAATGTTAAGGCTTCTGTCTTCCTTAATGTATACTGCACAGTCCAGGAAGGCTACTCCAGGGCTTTTCAACCAGTGGTATGGGTACCACCTGTGGTACATTGGCACCTGGCAGGTGGTACGCAACCATCCTAGAAAAGTGGTAGTGGGGGAGGGGAATGAGCTGAACCGATGGCAGCACCGCACAAGCCTGAGCGAGAGACGGCTGGAGCTGCAGGGCTGTCAGGCCTCAGCAGAAGCTCCAGGATCAGCGCCAGGCTCCAGCTGGAGCTCGGCACTGATCCTGGCGCTTCTGCTGAGCCCAGAAGAAGCGCCGATCAGCTGGAATGTTGCAGCATCTCCAGGGTCTTGTGATTTACATTCAGATGCTTGGCAACTGATTCATATTTATGATGGTCACAGTGTCCCAGGGTCATGTGAAGTAACCAAAACCTGCTGCAACCACCCAGCAGATGGGGGGAATAAACGCCAAACACCCCCCCCACCCCCGCTGCCAATCCTCAACAGAAATGCTCACAACAATGAAAACCTCAGACAGGAGGAAGAGCGCCGCTGGGTGGGCAGGCAGGTGTCTTGCTCGGCTGTGGCTTGGGGGGCACTTTTTTCAGTGCCATTGTAACTTCGAACAGTCACTAAGCGAACTGTTGTAAGTCGAAGACTACCTGTACTTTATCACTTTTTTCCTTTTTTTTTTGGTCATCAAGTTTTTGACACCTTGCTAGGCGACTGGTGGTACTCGGATGTTGCCATATCCTAAAAGTGGTACAATGGGTGAAAAGGTTGAAAAGCCCTGGGCTAGATTATTTTCCTTAACATCTTTGCATGTGAATTTGACGCATCTGTCCACCGAGTTGATATGTTTGGTGAATGCTTCCAATCCCTGTGTTTTGATTTTGACCCAAATATTGTCCACATACAGTGAGTGGGTTGAATTCCTGTGAAGGAATTTAGGCCTTTGGTTTCTATCTCTTCCATGTAGAGATTGGCCACAATGGGGGACACAGGTGAGCCCATGGCGCAGCCATGTTTTTTTTCCTGTAGAAATCTTCACTGTATTTAAAATATATAAATCCTTCCATTCCCACCATCCAGTCAGAGCTGAAGAAGCTTTTTGGATGAGAAGCGAAACGTCTTCAAGAAAAACAAGAAAGTCCAGTTGCCTCGTGAAAAAAGCACCTTTGGGACTACACTCCCCATCATTTTTTTTGCGAGTTTGGCCAGTGGAGGAATCCTAGGAATTGTTGCTGAAGACTAATATACAGAAGGTGTGGCGGGACCATCAGATCCCTGACAGCTGTTTTCCTTTTTCTCAGGGCACCTTTCTGGAGTGCCACCCGGACTTCCGTGTTGCTCACCGCTTCCACAAGGCCTGCGTTTCCCAACTGAATGGTATGATCTTCTGTCCACATTGTGGAGAAGATGCTTCAGAGGCCCAGGAGATCACCATAGCCAAGGCGGACACCTCCACACCTGTCCCCATCCCGCTGTCACATGGCCAAGGCGCTTCCGAGTCCACCGGCCGGGCTGACACCACCCAACCCAGGTGAGTAGACTGCATCTGGCAGGGATCCCAATTCCCGGGTTTTCAGAAAATAAAAGGATATGTATTTTTTCTTTATAAATGGAACCTTTCTAGTTAATGCCAAAGGTCTTCTTCAGTATCCCTCTCAAGCTGTAAAACGGGCGGGGAACTATCGCCCTTTTATGACTTGTGGACTTCAACTCCCAGAATTCCTGAGCCAACCATGTTGATTCATGCTGAGTCATGCTAGCTCAGGAATTCTGGGAGTTGAAGTCCACAACTCATAAAGGGGCCATAGTTCCCCACCTCTGCTGTAAAACAAGTAGACAATCTACAGCAGACATGTCAAACAGAAGGCCCGGGGGCCAGATGCGGCCCGCGAAGTGGTTTCATGTGGCCTGCGAAGCCATCCTGGAAACAGTGAGGGAACGGCCCCCTCTGCCTTGGCCCTGGCCCAGGCCGGCCGGGAGCCAATGTACAATTTTGTGGTGGCCATCTTGGCACTTGCCCCGGTGGACCATGCCTTGGCACTTGCCCTTGTCCCACCCCCTTCTGCCAGAGACCCTCAGATCTGTCCCACTCCTGCCCAGGACCCCATAGGCACCCTTGACGCAAATGATGCAGAACTGGCCACGCCCACCCAGTAGGCCACATCCACTCCATCCACGCCCACCTAGTAGGCTGCACCCACTCTGGCCACCCCCACCCCCAGGGCAACCGCAATGCGGCCCTCAGTGAAATTGAGTTTGACACCCCTGATCTACAGGCTCTGTGCGTACCTCCTCCTTCTCCTCCTCCAAAGGACACAGAGTTGACCGAATCTTTGAAATCTTCCAACTTTGGCACTGCCTGTGGAGAAAGCAGTTTCTCCTTTTCTATCTCTAAATCCCAATAAAAGAAAAGTTGCACTTCTAGAACTCACAGGCAGCAGAAGGGCCACATTTGAGCAGGGCTTAGGAGGGTTAGCGTAAATTTGATCCTCCATTCCACCGTTCCCCACAAATACGCACACAAATGCTTCCAAAGGTTTTCAGCCTCACTCTTCCCAGTGACATCGTGTCAGCCCTCTGAAGTAGGCCAGGTCAGGAAAAAAGATCCGCAAGACAAACTACAATTTTCTAGGCCCGTGTTTCTCAGCCTAGCAGGCTTAATAGGTGTGAACTTCAATTCCCCGAATTCAGCCAGCCAGCATGCCAGAGTCTACACCTTTTAAACTTGTTGAGGTTGAGAAACACACGATCTAGACCAGTGGTGGCAAACCTATGGCACGGGTGGCAGAGGTGGCACTCAGAGCCCTCTCTGTGGGCACACGTGCTGTCGCCTCAGTCCTAGGCCTTCAGCTGGTTTTTATAAAACCTTTTCACTTTAGGCCTCCGCCACCATGTGCAAAAAAAAAAAAAAGGTTCAATCAGTCAATTTCAACTTCTCGCGGGAAAAAAAAGTTCTTGCAAAGTTGAAATTGATTGATTGAACTTTTTAGTCCCACCCAGTCTGCCGTTACCACCGCAACCACGCCCACCCAATGGGCCACGCCCACCCAATGGGCCACACCCACCTGGCACTC